GATGGAAAGGGGTTGGTCGAATGGTATAATAGGGTTTATCGCTCCACACGGTCAGAAACAAAATGAAACGTCTCATTGGTAGGATCCATGGTTATCATTGGTAGAAAGATAACAGATGATACACCAGAAGGGTTACTTTTATGTGGTAGTTGGCATACGGCATACACCTTGCTATCCTGGAGCAATGTTGCTGAGAAAATGTGAAATGTTCAGTAAAATATCCAGGTTTGCAGACGGGTCACTGCACGCAATATCCTTAATGGTATTATACCATGTCTTTATTGGGATTTGTCCCAATCTCCTCAGTTCTTTGAATAAAACTTGGCGTTTCTTAATGACCGTTGAAAATTTTCCAGCTAAAGTGACAGCCGCGATAATGCCCATTCCATGAAAAGTACCATGACCAATCATTGTAATATTATTGTGATCAATATTATCAGCTGCATATTGCATGAATTTCTGAGAACTTTCAGAATTTCTAAAGGGACAGGTATGATAGTTCCTTTTTCTTAAGCGGCTGAAGGTTCGAATAAAATAACTTCGGAATAGGAGCTATAGAATCCGAATATGATTTACCGCTTCAACTACAAATTTTGAGCTTGCTTGATTGTGTTGTCATGTAATTGAATTGCGCAATTTAGACCGGGGGGCGCACTGCTTGCATAATTGCCTGCCCTATAGAAGCAACTTTTCTTTCCTTGTTGGTTTTACCAGTAACTAACACTGATAATAACATCCTCAAGGAATCAGGAATATATCATTTCTTATCATTTCAGCAGTTGCCATAATGACATTTTTTCGATCATGCTTTTGTCTGTGGTACTCTTGCAACATATGTAGCTGTACTTTTGAAAGTAACGACATCAGCAGTGCCTGCAATTGTTCCTATGAAAATATTATCTTTAAAATGCTTTTCCAGTTTTCGTTTCATATACTGCGGACAATATGGTTCACTATTTTCTAGACTTGGAGAAAAATTTCCGATGGGACTGAGTCCTCTGGACGCCCTGAATATGTTTTAGTCAGAGAGGTATCATTGAACTGCACTGGAATCAAGTTTCCAGTATGAAAATTGACAGAACACTATTTGTGGTAGCATGCATCTACAGCATGTAAATCAGACACATTAGATCAGGAGATTAAATTTAATTGGAAATGTTAATGGTGGATTAAACTCAAAGTTGGTGTCAGATGATAGTTTATAAAAATCTAAGACAAGAATGTAAAATCGGTTTTCCTCTAAAATTAACCGTTCAGGATTTACAGCCTGTCAAAGTTGCAAAAAGTCAATTTTCAACTGTCAATATTTCCAAAACAGTTGAATAAGGTATATCATATGAAATCTGTTCAGAATTTTACGTAGAATCCAAATATGCAATCACATACAGGATGTTCCATTTAAAATAGCGATGTTGCCATTGGTTTGGAGTAGAAGCAGCAACACCGTCTAAACGAAAATATTTTTAAAGTATAGATTATGGTCGTTTATCCCGGTTGCCAAATTTTCAAAATGATCCGCTTTTTAGTTCTCCATTAACGTCTAATACGCCATCCACCGTGGGACACCCTGTGTATATTCATTTCATAATCATACTTCAAGTACTTACATGCATTTGTCAGCAGACAGAATGGATTAGGATAATTCTGTACACTTTTCCAATTGTAATTGAGAAACAGTCAAATGTATTTCAGAAATCGTCAAATATAATTCAGAATTCGGTAAGTGTAATTGAGAATAGTCAAATGTAATGAGGAATTTGCAGATTTTTTTTTATTCTCTTATTAAATTTTTCACATTGTAAAAAGTCACTTGCTACATAAATTTAAAATTTTCAACTAATACTTTTTCTGTAAAAAAATATAGAAATTCAAAATAACTCTCTTCGCGCCAAAACGCAGCCAAATCAATGACGTCATAAAACGGTATCCGTCAAAACGAGTCTCTGTACTCCCTCTCTCTCTCTTACCCATTGTGTTTTGTCATTGGTTTATGCGACTATGTCGATCATTGTCATTTTCCATTCACTAAACAAAGATAGTGTTACGGTAATTTTGGAAATCATTTCTCTTCCAGCGAACTCACACCTTATACATTAAGAGAGAGAAAGATATAGTGTAGTAATGATAGTAACAAATATATATGACTAAATAATGATTATCATAACAATAGCTAACTCATCGATGAAGTCGCCGATTAGAATAAAAACAATCTTTGTTTAGTTAATGGAAAATGACAATGACCGACATAGAATGCTGAATCCATCGGTAGAATTTATTGAGGTAGTATATAGGGGAGGAGGTGACGTCACCTGACCAGAACCGGTAGCGGGTCCGCCATACTAGTGCTGGTTTTGTGTCATAGCTTACTGTCATTACAACTGTCATACTCAATTTCTGATTTCGAGACGTAATACGTAATTTTTGCTTATTTTGATGTTTTTGCGACCTGTTAGTGTTGTGTATGAGAGAAGTATAATGTCTTCATGTGCAGTAAGAAGTTGCTACAGCAGGTTTTACGTGAGTATAAACAACATTCAGGATCGGACTTCAAATTTTTTGTTGTAGTTTTAATATGTAGTTATGTTTCGAAAATGCAGATTGCAGAAAGAAGATACTTGAATATTAGAATGGCATACCTGACAAAAAGTAAACCAAATAAACACATCAGTGAGAGACATCAAAGCAATAAGCTTACAGTATTTAAGGGTCAATGAAATTTTTATGTAGACAAATAAGATTAAGCGATGTGGTAATTTTTTTTTTTATATCCTGCCTTTATATTTTTGCTAACATTTATTAAATAGTTGTTTTTTTTGAAGTGTTTTTGTTAAATAACGATATTTTTGTTCCTTCTGAATCATAAATTTGATATAAATATATCGGTCAAAAATCCTGACGAATAAATAAACAAGTAATGCGACGTAGGTACGTTTTCGTAGTCAAAGCAATCTTCGATTGGTTTTTTTTTTTGAAGACCCGATATTATCCCCACATTCAGAAACAATTTTTAGGCCAAATGAAAACAATTAAATACATGTTAAAATTGAAATAACAATAGAGTTTGAATTTTAAATATATTTGAGCAGAATCCAACCCTGATCATGCGGCCATATTGGTGCTGGAATAAACTCCAAAAAATGACCCCTTTATCAATGCATACACTCGTATATGGCAACAGCGTCTCCTTTTATATACTGGGCCGCATTCATAAAAAAAAAGGTTATGCTTATACCATAGACCTAACTACTCGTAGTAGTTAGGTCTATGCTTGTACTTGCAGAATATGAAGGAAATCATTCAGTTCGCATTCATAATATTCCGAGTAAAACCTTATACTTATAGAGTATGAGCATATCCTTGACATAAAGTATTTGGTTATTCATAAACGTTACCTTTTACTTTAAATAAGAAGGATATCCTTCAATAATTTCGAGTGTGGTCAGTAGCAGACTCAGTCCTGAAGTGATCAGTTGTAGCGATGGCAGATGTTGTGGAACTGAGAGAAATTAAACATTACAAGCAGCGTTTATCAGCACCTGTTCGTGATTACAAAGAACTATACCGGTTTGAAGAGGAAAATGAGTGTTATCATCCGTCCTAGAAATGGTGATATGTTTACGCTCATCTCAGTGTCCCTGGGTATCAGAAAGGCATAGGTCAAGAAAGTAAAGGTATATATTCAAGAAAGTAAAGTTTCCGTCTACCAACCAAACAAAGACTTATGGATGCGAAACCGTTATGGCAAAGCAAGTATATGTTTTCGACAGCAATTATTGGAGTAGTTGACTGTAGGTATATTAACGTAGGAATGAAACCAAAACGTCATGTCAACCGAAAAGGTCATCCTACACTGAATGTGCAAGCCACTTGTGCTGCACTAGTATGAACATTAGGTGGCCTGGATCGGTCTAAGATTCAAGAATATGGTGAAATTCGCAAATAAAGGTTCATTTACAAAATAATCACAATGTCGTGGTACTTGCTGATGATGGACACCATTATGAATACGAAAAAAAGGAAATGCTTATTATACTTCTACCTTTTTCTTTAACTCAAAACCTTATAACTCTACCTTATACTTACAAGGATATCCTTCAGTTTTATGAATACGGCCCATTATCTCAATGGTAGAATTCGATGTAAGCACAAGCGTCTTACAGCTCACCTATCACGTTATCATAACCACAGTTTATACCGTACCGATACAGTTGTTCAACTCTGTTGACAAACCATTGATTTTTTTGAAGCCAAATCTATGTCCCTATATTTTGCGCTTGCGCATTATTGATCGGAAACAACGAATCCTGGGCCGTGGACTAGGAATTTTTGTGGCAAATAACACGGAAAGCAAAACACTCTTAACAACGCCGAATTTCAAATTGATGAATTTTCCGGTTACTTTTCAATTTCCTGAATAATTTCAGTCAAAAAACTTCTCCTCTTTTTTTGTAATACAATCCTGTTGCGTGTCTCATTTGACAGTTATTTCTCGCGGGTTCTCACCCAAGCTAACTCTATCTCTTTTTTGCGTGCAGGATTGGAAAGAGACATGTATATGCCGAACTGCTTTTTCAATTTGAGTGATTTGTTCACTCATTGAGCGCATGCGCAAGGTATGGGTCAAAATGCTCCTATTGGTTGGCGAATTTGGCCTCAAAAAATATGGAGAGTTGTACAACTGTATCGGTACGGTATAAACTGTGTCATAACCACACTTTTGTTTGTTTACCGTTCCATGACGTCATAACCAATTTGAGAGCGTTTTCGCGCCCTTTGTTATACCTATTCAATATTTGAATAATTAATTAGGTATTTATTAGTAGTTCAGTATAAAGAAGATTATTTGAATATGGAAATATACTTCTAGAGTAGGTATTTTGCTTCACTTTAAATACATTTTGCATCAAAATAAAATTCTCATTAGGAAACCGTCAATATGTAATTGAGAAAACGTTAAATGTAATTGTGATTGCGTTAATTATATTTTAGAAAGTACCTACCTATCAAATTATGATATTCAGAGTAGGTCAAATGAAATTGAGATCATGCAAAATTCGAAACTGTGGAAGATAATTAGGAAATCCAAACCACGTGACTTTTGCCAACCAGTCGGCATTTTGAAATTTGTATGAGGTTAGAATACGGGTTGTTACATGATGCAATGAACTATAACCAAAAACAGGAATGCTAACACATAAGGACGAACATGAAGCCTAGTGCAGCTGCTGCGGAGGGGATACCTGTTTTTGTCGCACTCATTATGTTAAATGGCGAAAATTGCTTCCCACACGTATTCCAATCGATGAAACCTGTGAAGGGAAATGTGACAAAACTTTCGAAAACGTCATATGACAGCGAGCAACAGAAAAAAACAATATTCCCCCTTGTGGCATCTGTCTTTCATGGCTTCATTTTTTTGGCAGATATGGCACTGTGTGCGCATTCCAGTTTTTAGCTATAATTCATTGGTTACATGTCAACGATATCAGTATTGATAAAGCCTAGTACTCATAACAGCGAAATTAGGCAATCCAACGACCTGTCCAAATGGCGTCTGGTTGGCAAACAATAAACAAAAAACATATGGTTTTTTTTTTGGCAGGATTAAGCCTAGTAGGTACTCATAACAGCAAAATTCGCTCTTTTTTGACATTGCTTCGACAATTTGACGTTTTGCGTGAATTAAATGTCGAAGCAATGTCAAAGAAGAGCGAATTTCGCGGTTATGAGTACTAGGCTTTATCAATACACGGGGCGAGTACTCAAATCTGACACTTTTCTGACATCGTTGACATGTAAGAACCCGTATTCTAACCTCATAAAAATTTCAAAATGCCGGCTGGTTGGCAAAAGTCACGTGGTTTGGATTCCCTAATTCGCTGTTTTTAGACATTCAGGCCTATGATGTATCATTCTCTTTTATTTTCACAGCCACGTTAAGTTATCTGTCACTGTTTATTCTATACGTCAAAATAGAGACAGCAATAGATGTTGAGCCATAACACAGCCGTTAAAATAACAGGACCGGATACATCATAGGCCTGAATGCTTCGACAATTTGACGTTTAATGTGTGAATCGAACGTCAAAAAAGAGCGAATTTCGCGGTTATGAGTACTAGGCTTAATCCCGTCAAAATAAAAACATATGTTTTTTGTTTATTATTTGCCAACCAGACGCCATTTGGACAGGTCGTTGGATTGCCTAATTGAGCGATCCATATCCGATACCCCATAAATTCTCACGAATTTGTGGCACCTTGTATATGAAATTTTCTTGATCTCAATTTCATTTGACTTATTCTGAATCCCATTTAATACTTTCTGAATTAGTACATTTAACGTTTTCTCAATTACATTTGACGCTTTTTCAATTAGGTGCATTTGAATATTCTAGATTACAATTGACGAATTCTCAATCACATTTGACTTTCCCAGTAAAAACCTTCACTATTTCAAAAAAACAGTCAAGAAACTATATCAAACATCGAGATTATTTCAGGGCCAAAATTATCAAAATTTCTACAATTCGGACCACCTCTAGCAAAATCAATGAAAAAAGAATACGGAGACAAGGAAATGTGTATAGAAGTCGTGGATAATATGCAAGAGGCCATCGATCATATACATAAATACGGCAGCAGCCATACAGAATCAATTATAACAGAAAATAGTACTTACGGACTTCAATTATTGGCTTTCATTAATTATTTTATTTTTTTTTTTAGAGGAATCAGCTGAAGCATTTCTAAAAAAAGTCGATTCAGCTTGCATCTTTCATAATGCCAGCACCAGAATGTCGGACGGATTCAGATTTGGACTCGGTGCCGAAGTCGGTATAAGTACTGCCAGAATCCACGCAAGAGGTCCCGTAGGAGTCGAAGGTTTGCTCACCACCAAATGGATTTTGCGTAGTAAATTTGCTCATACTGCTGGCGAGTTTAATCAGAAGGATGGTCCCAAATGGATACATAAGGCTTTGCCCATCAACTAACATTTGTATTGTCTGTAATAAAATCACTTATCAAACATTTCCTGGAATCAATAAAAATTGAATTTGTAGAAACTCATTTAAAAAATCGACAACATTCATTGTTTATAATAATTATTTAATGAATTAACACAGATAGACATTTTTATACAATAGAGAATAACAATTAATTATTTATGTACAAACAATTAATAAAGCAAAACAAAAAATACAAATTGATTCAGAATTAATCATTATTGATGATTGAAATAATTATATACAAAAATGCTTATATCACAGATTGTTGAAATACCCCGAAACAAAAGAGGATTATTTGCATTAAAAAACTAAAATTACACACAACTAAGCTTATATTATCTAGGAAGTATTTTACTTTACCCACATACATTACACATAATATACAAGTAGGAAAATACTATATTTACAAATACTAGTAATTGAACATTAATTAATTGCAAACAGTTATTGGTTTATTGTATTTTGAATATCAAACAGGAAATCCTTCCTTAACTATCGAAAAGCGTATATTTTTCCCCAACTTTGAAAAAACAAAATAAAACATTTACTACACATGCAAATAATGTTTATTAAGGAGCAACTAAGGACAGATATATTAATAATTTATATAATATTATAAAGGAAGAAAAAAATGTTTGATATCCAAAAAAAAAACAATTTATGCAATAATTCTTATTGTATTTGGCGAAGGCGTACAAGAATGTACGACCCTATGCGTAGGACTTCCAGGTGCGCTTTGACTTATGGGTAGAGCCGATTGATGATGGTTGATGTGACGTCATAAAGGATAGAGTTCGTGTTGACCAACGGACGCATAAGTACAAGTACTCGCAGTCGGTTCCAGCACTTGGGTGTGAGAGTTGAAGTACTATAGAAGAAAAATAGAAATTGTTTTAGTTGTTTGGGTATATTGGTTGCACTCTACAGTTTGTTTTTCACGTGCAGATTGTTCTACAATGAGGCTGTAGAGTGCAAAGTTTTACATTTAAGATTTTCGAGCAGGTATAATAGGGTGCTTTAATTTGAAAGGTAGATATAGATAAAGTCATGCATGTCTTTGCTATGAAATATAAGGGTTTTTTTGTTGCAATTGTTGCAGGTTTTGGAAGAAAAAACTAACTATGTAGATGGGGAACGAGAAACATTAATTATATGATTTTACATAATTTGAAATAACTACCTCATGATTTGGATTTTTCAAAACTTTAGGATCATTATCACTAAAAGTTAAGATTATTGTTATACCCACAGCGCCATATTGAATATTAATAAATTCAAAAATCCTCAGTGTATTTCCATCTCTTTCTTTCAACCTGTTAAAGAAAGAGATAGAAATACATTCTCTTCGCACTAATTCTACCAACCAAAAACGCTATTAAATTGAGCAATAAGCCTAGTACTCATAACTGCGAAATTCGGATTTTTTTGACATTGCTTCGACAATTTGACGTTTGATACACGCATAAAACGTCAAATTGTCAACGCAATGTCAAAAAAATGCGAATTTCGCAGTTATGAGTACTAGGCTATAGGGCGATTTAACATGTGAATTTATTAATATTCAATATGGCGCCGTGGACATTACAAACTTGACAACCGTAAAGGTAAGTTTACATTCAATTCCAATTCAAATTGCAATCAATCGGAATTGAATGTAAAGGTGCCTTCACGGACTTTAAGTTTATTATGTCCACGGTGCCATATTGAATATTAATAAATTGACAGAAGTGACAGAACGTTAGATCGCCTAATTTTCACCAGCTGTCAATTGAATTTGATTAATAAATGTATAAAGCTTAGTACTCATAACTGCGAAATTCGCATTTTTTTGACATTGCGTTGACAATTTGACGTTTTATGCGTGTATCAAACTTCAAATTGTCGCAGCAATGCAGCAAAAAAAATGCGAATATCGCAGTTATGAGTACTAGGCTTAAGCTTGTGAAAAAGATTTCATATGTCAATATATCAATATTTTGACACTTAGAGAAGCTCTAATTTCCACTGAGATTCAAAATTTGTGCACTGGGTGTATTTTCATCTCTTTCTCTCAGCCGCTCAAAGAAAGAGATAGAAATAAATTTCCTTTGTACCTACCAACCGGAAACACAATTAAATCAAACAATTAGGCAATCTATTCCAATATGGCTGCTCAGGTCAAATTGTTGTGACGTTAAAAAAAAGCATTTTTGTTCAATGTCAAATCTAAATGTCCAGAATGTGACAAAATAAGTAATTTTTCATTAATTTCTATCAGTAACCTGAATGTAAACAACACGGTGTCTGACCTGAACTTCCATATTAAATTTCGTTTGACAGGTCATGGAGATTGCCTAATAGGGCAATCAGACATTTTGTGGATTTATTGATATTCAATATGGCGACGTGCGCATAACTGATAACCGTAAAGGTACGTTTACATTCAATTCCAATTCAATTGTAATTGAATATAACAATCATCTCCAAGTTGAATATTAAATAAATTGACAGAATATTCCCTAATTTTCAGAAGCTGTCAAAATTGAATTTGATAAATGAATGTCCAATGAGCCTCGAAGAAAACTGTCATATCTCAAATGTCATTGTTTTGTCATTTATAGAAACTGTATTTTCCACAATATCAATCAGAGCAATTTTCACCAGCTGTCAAAGTTGAATTTGATAAATAAATGTTACAATAAGCTTCAAAAAAAATCGGTATCTGTCAAATTTCATTGTTATCCAATGAGCTTAAAAATCGTTGAATTTTTTTGTAAAAAAACGTCGTTCCCTCTATCAAACAGCGGCAAATATGGGAACTAATATTTCTATCACGCTCTATTCAATTGCAACCGTATATTTCCATAACGTTTTTTCCTCCCTCTTCACCTCAGACCGAAACGTTCTTTTCACAGTTGCCAATAAATACGACAATTTTGACATTCACCGACTGTCAAAGTTAAATTTGGATCGTTGAACATCCAATAGTGCAGTTAAATGTTAACAGTTAAAGAAGCTCTAATGTGCATCGAGCTTCAAAATGTCTGCAATTTCAATGGAAAAATATCTTCGGTCTGAAATTCAGTAGTCTTGACCAGCTGTCATAGTTGAATATAAATAGATGGATGTCCAAAATATCATTTGTCAAACGTCATTGGTTTAATAGTAGAACGACAAAAAAAATTGTGTCATTATCATGTGAAAGGATTGCGACAGCTGTCAAAGTTTAATTTGATAGTTGGAGTTTATAGAAATATTGACATCTGTTTAATATTATCGTTTTGACAGTTATAGATCATCCAATGTCTATTGAGCCAATATTGTAGGTACTTTTTGTGAAAAAAATCAACACACCTGAATCGAGCAATTTATATGATTTGTAGATGTCGAATTTGATAGATACATGTTCGATGTGCTTGTAGAAAAATTGTCATCTGTCAAATGTTACTGTTTTGACAGTCAGAGAAGCTCTAATGTCGAATGAGCAATAAAATTCATGTCTCCATACAAAAAAATAGTCGCGCCTAAGTTGGACAATTTACACAAGCGATCAAAGTTGAATTTGACAATTGAATGTCTTACGAGTTTCTGAAAAAAGTTCAATATGTAAAATGGTGTTCTTTTGACAATTAACCCCATACTGAATCCTGGCATTTGTGGTTTGGATCAAGGGAGGTTGCCTGATAACTTCTATGACGTCACCAGTATGCCTGAACATAATGCAAACCTGCCTGATGATGGCGCCACCTGTTTGCCATTGCTAGACTACATTCTTTTCACAGTTGCCAACCTATAAATATGAGAATTTTGATATTCACCACCTGTCAAAGTCAAATTTGATAGTTGGATGTTCAATGAGCTAGTAAAAAAAAATATCATAAGTCAAATGTCATTATTTGATAATAGGAAATGCCGCAATGTCAATCGAACTTCAAAATTTGTGCCTTTTCATAGAAAACAATTTGTGGCTCACCAATTATATGCAATTTGTAGCCGCATGTTTATGGGACGTTTTTTCTTAAAATATTGTAAGGAATCACATCCTGAAGTTACGAACCGTATATACTTATGAGGAACATCCTATATATTTGTCTATTTTTTGACCACCCTGTACGTGCTATTCTAAATTTTAATAGTTTATTATTATTTTTTCAAGAAGCGGAAACTTTTATAAAGAATATCTTTTTTTCGTAAAATTGATAATAAAAAAGTTTCCCATATGCTACGAACTTAAGTGGACATACTGTATAAAAAATCATCGCTCTTAAAGTAGACAATAATTTGTGACAGTTGTCAAAGTTGAATTCGATAACTGGATGTTCAATGAGCTTGTGAGAAAACTTTCATATGTCAAATGTCATTATTTTGACAATTGGAGCCGCTGTAATATCAATCGAACTTCAAAATCGTCGTTCTTGAATTATACAATTTGCGACAGCTGTCAAAGTTTAATTCGATAATTGGATGTTCAATAGCCGTGTTCGTTTTTGTCATATTTTTCGTCGATTTGTTACGAAATTTTGACAGGCACGTGATCTGTAAATTGAAACTGTCTGATCCAGTCACGTGCCTGTCAAAGTTTCGGAGCAAATCGACGAAAATGATGGCAAAAACGAACACGGCCAATGAGCTTGTAAGAAAACTTTCATATGTCAAATGTCATTATTTTGACAGTGGGAAATGCTGTAATGTTGATCGAATTTCAAAATTTGTGCCTTTTTATGGAAAAAAAAATCGGTACTCTCGAATTATGTAATTTGTAGCAGCTGTCAAAGATAAATTCAATAATTGGATGTCGAATGAATATGTAGAACAAGTGTCACCTGTCAAGTGTTGATATTTTGACAGTCAAAGAAGCTCTAATGCTCATTGAGCTTCAAAATTTGTGTTATTTCTATTAAAAAAAAATCGTCGTTCTTGAATTATGCAATTTGCGACAGCTGTCAAAGATTAATTCGATAGTTAGATGTTCAATGAGTTTGTAAGAAAACTTTCATATGTCAAATGTCATTATTTTGACAGTGGGAAATGCTGTAATGTTGATCGAACTTCAAAATTTGTGCCTTTTTATGGAAAAAAAATCGTCGCTCCCAAATTATGCAACTTGTAGCAGCTGTCAAAGTTGAATTCAATAATTGGATGTCCAATGAATATGGAAAAGAAGTGTCATCTGTGAAATGCTAATGTTTTGACAGTCAGAGAAGTTCTAATGCTCATTGAACTTCAAAATTTGTGTTATTTCTATAAAAAAAATTTGAATTATACAATTTGCGACAGCTGTCAAAGTTTAATTCGATAGTTGGATGTTCAATGAGCTTGTAAGAAAATTTTCATAAGTCGAATGTGAATATTTTGACAGTAAGAAATGCTGTAATGTCGATCGAACTTCAAAATGTGTGCCTTTTTATGGAAAAAAATCGGTGCTCTCAAATTACACAATTTGTGGCAGCTGTCAAAGTTGAATTCAATAATTGGATGTCCAATAAAGTTCGCAGCATATGGGAAACTTTTTTATTATCATTTTTACGAAAAAAAGTTATTCCTTATAAAAGTTTTTGCTTCTTGAGAAAATAGTATTAAACTATTAAAACTTGAAGTAGCATGAACAGGGTGGTCAGAAAATAGAAAAATATAAAGGGTTTTTTGGTAAAAGTAGAAAAAAAATGGCACGTCACTATGTTTTTAAACCTTTGATATTTTTTTCAGATTAAGCAAGTGATATTATAGTCAAAAGATACCTTTCGTCTATTCTATGCTTTCGTCATTACAAAGAAACCTGTCAAAAAAGTATTGAATAATATGCGCATTTTAAACATCCATTTTCTATTGATTAATGTGAATGATTACTCATACAGTGAGTTTTTTTTTACATTACTTACTGTTTTGAACCAATGAAAATATCTTGGTCTCATTATTCCACTATTTAACAGCCAATCAGAAAATTCGACAAGTTGACAACATACTTCAACCTTCCAATCGGTTATTTTGACAGCTTATTTGGACAAGACTTGTGCTAACCTAACCTCACTTTGTCCTCCAGCTGTCAAAATTGTCAATTAATTTTATTACGAAAATTTAAAAAAAAAACCGCATAGCTCGTGCCTATTATCTATTAATCATAGAAAAAGTATAGCATTCTACTCGTGGGTAATGGCTATTACTTACTCGGATAATTACACTACTCGCCTGCGGCTCGTAGTATCATTACCCGCTCGTTGCATAATATACTATTTTTCTAAAACTTTGACACCCTGTATCTCAGAAACTACGAATTTCCGGACACATGTTTATGGGTCCTTTTTTCTTAAAATATTGTAAGGAATCACATCTTGAAGTTACGAACCGTACTTGTGAAACACCCTGTATATTTGTCTATTTGTTGACCACCCTGTACGTGCTATTTCAAGTTTTAATAGTTTAGTATTATTTTTTCAAGAAGCAGAAACTTTTATAAAGAATATCTTTTTTTCGTAAAATTGATAATAAAAAGTTTTGCATATGCTGCGAATTTAGGTGGTCACACTGTATAGGCCTACCCCAACAAGTTTAAAACCTCTTGAGCATATCTGGTCAAAAATATTTAACAATAATAGATAATTTCTCAAAATTTGCAACTGCGTACCATCCTATTAACGAAAACGCAATTGAGATTTGTCAAAACTTACAAGATTGAAACACCTAGTAAAATTACTACGGTTCAGCATTTAAAAGTAATTTAATCCAAGATGTTTGTAAAACTTACAAGATTGAGTTATATTTTGTTACATCTTATAATCCTAATTCAAATTCACCAATTGAAAGGTTCCATTCAACATTAAAGGAAAGCCTTAATGTAGTTCTTAGGAATAAACATCGTTCCAAAACTATCCAAGAATTGATTGATATTGCTATATTAAATTATAATAATAGCATACATTCTTCTCATGATGATATATATTTATATGTAAATATAAAGTATCTAGAAGAATATAAATACATTCATGTAGTAAATAGCTCTTTACCTCATTTGTAATGAAGCAAGTATATTTAGAACAATCAATAGGTGTAAGCCCTTAAAAATTGACAACAAAGCTTTCCATTGTCCGAAAATCGATTATTTTGCTTGATTGCCTTTCACCGGACTTTAAAGCTATTTCCTCTGCCTGGTAATTTAAGTTCTCTATATTCGAACTTCAAAAAAAAATGGCATAAAATTTACATTTTACTCTAAGACTGAACAGCTTTAATGCGGTTGCTTTCAGAATAATTATCTTTTCCACTTTATGACGAATATTGTGCTTCCTTAATGGTCTACTACATTAAATCGCTATTTTGTTGTTAGATTAAAATAATTCTCCATTTTAGTAGCTTCGCTGGAGCGTTATTTTAAATTCGATTTTAGGGTAGTCAATAGATAACAAACCGCTTAAAGTAGGTTAATCAAATGGTAGAGGGTCAAAATGCGAAAATAATACAATTTAGGGTCGAAAATCTCTAATTGGAAACGAAGGGTTGATAATAATTATCGAGGAAATTTATCGTTTTGAACCCTTTCATGTCGACGTGTTTGATTAATTATTATTGTAACTATATTAAAATCCATATAGGGTTTGCTACAGAAAAAAATCATGCTAATGATATTTACCTAAAAAAAAATTCTTGTATTTATTTACATTGAGAATAAAAATTATTTACATTTTTTTTGTTGGTAGTAGGTTAATCATGCCATAGGAGAGTTTTTGAAGTTTTTCAAACAAACCTTGTGAAAAATAGAATCTAGACACGAGCCTGAACTTTGAAAATGCTTAGAAAGTTGTACATTGCCTCGCCCCAAGTTTCTTCCACCTACAAAGTTGATTATTATGTATTTTAATGTAATTTTTGCACATTTTTCTTGCTGTAGTGATTATGTGCAACATTAAAATATTATGGTGCAAGGAAATTTGAAAATTTAAGTACTTATAGTGCCTTATTAAAGCCATTAATAATACTAACTAAAATACAGAGTGTCCCTTCATTAAAACTGACTTGATTATGCTTCGTTGAATAGTTAATTTGTCTTTTTTCCTTTTTGAAACACTTACCTGTAAAATGTATCATGAATGGACACCCTGTATAGAAGAAACTGTTGAGGACGTCACATTATACACATAAATTAGTGCTGTATAGTGTATTAAAGCTTTTCAGGAGCTGGATAGCTATAAGAGGGTTGGAAATGTGAAAATGTTGACTCATAAAAAATACTTTTATCAAATGGCCTTTCTGTAACAAATATTATACAACAAAAAATTTCCTATAGCTATCCATTCCAGGACCTAGTAAACCCTGCCTCATTACCAAACTATTACTTGTTCAATCTGGATTGACTTCAATTCACAATCCAGATTGAAACCAGACAAATACGAGTAGTCAAGCAAAACAAAAAATATAAAAGACGTCACACTTTTTTTGCTCTTTCAAATTTTATTTACGTGTTTATGTCGCTTCCGGAGGCTCGAGGAGGAAAAATTAAAAATAAAACAAGGAAGCGGATCGGGTAAAGGGTAGATTGTCGGTAAGGGAAAGGTCGGGGGCCCTTTGCTATATGAACGTCTGCTCGCACGAGTTGTGGCGCAACGAGTAGGACGAGTAATAACGTGTTGACGAAAAACGCTGCAAAGAAAAATTATTGGATTTTTGGAATGATTAATATAAAATTCCATTTTTCACCCTTATCTTGTATTTTTGATGACTATTGAAAAAAAAAAGGAGCTAATAAATAAGAATGGGGATTTCCTCACCTGACTAGGTTTACTCCTGAAGGCAGGCTGATATTTCCGCCTGACTGATCTCGGACAACAGACGCACAATATTCGAAGAAAAGCTCTGAAAAATAAAGAAAAAAAAATACACAAATCTTACATTAAAAAAATATACAAAAATTTAATATAAAACTCCAAGTTCTGTAAAGAAATATAAATCGGGATTTTGGCGTCCCGAAGACGCTTCGAACGTCGAACGATGTAAAAATCGAATTTGGCATAAAACGAGATGTGGTAAAAGGTTTGAAATACATAAAGCAGTCAATTTACGTTCAAATAAATCCCATAATATAAAACTCTTTGTCTTTTTCAAATCAATAATAAATAGATTTACACTCTAATACCAAGTGTAAATTAAATTCTTCCTTGTGTTGTATGGAAAGAATAAGCAAATACATGTCATTCTCCCTTGTTTTTTTTTTTTTAGCTCTGCCAGCGTAATTTATATGCTTATTGGTCTTTGTCTTTTTCGTTAAATTTTCGGTTTAGGAGGAATTATAGGGGGTAATTTCGGTTTGTTCGGTCGTTGAAGATATTTATGACTTTGTTCTCCCATAGCCTTTTAGGCATGTGGAATTTTAATACAGGAGGGGAGCTTGGTTCACATTCAAATTTGTCTTTTATAGTTATGTAAATGATGACGTGGATCGTTTATTTTATATGCACACTCATTAGTTTTTGAGTGAAAAATTTAAACTTGGAGCCTTGTCAATATCAAGTTTATGAAACAGATAATCACAGAAATATTCAATGACCTGAACATAAACGTCTTGATACAGAAAAACGAGAAAAATATGCAAGAACCAGAAAATATAATGTGCAACATAACCAAGCAGCTTGAAATTAAGAGTGACCGAAGAATACTTCTTGAATGTTCAAAAATCAAGAACCATAGAACTATATCTTACAAAAAATATAAGAGAAAATGTAAAATACCGCTGCAAATATAATACCGACATACTAGCAATAATTATACAATCACACATATACACAAATTAAGAATCATTATTTATAAAAATCAAGTCAAATCGTCTATCATTAGCGTTTTTAGAAGAAAAAGCATTGCAAGATCTTTTAAATGAGTTCAATGATGTCTTCGTCTCAACTCCAAAGTACATGGACAAAATAAACTTAACAAAACATAGAATTGAAAAAGAAACAGACACCAGACCAATAAAAAGACGCCCTGTTAGAATATGATAACATCAGGCCATGTCACTCCTCATGGACAAGCCCAGTGGTGCTAGTAACCAAGAAATACGGATCTACAAGATTTTGCATAGATTATAAAAAACTTAATAATGTGACAAAAAAAAAACAAATTATCCATTATCTTAAATCGATGACATATTAAGTTTCCTGGGCAAAGTGAGATATTTTAGCACCTTAAACATGTTCTCAGGATACTGCCAATAGAGAAAAATTCAAAACAATATACGGCATTCGTGGCACAAGGCCATGGTTCATATGAGTTCAACTTCTTCCCATTCGGCTTATGTAACGCTCCGTCTGTTTTTCAAGAACTCTCGGATATAGTCTTTTGGGGTTTAAAGTGGAAGGAAGTATTAGTGTATATGGATGACATTATCATTTTCTCAAAAACGGAAGAGGAACACATAGCAAAATTAAGAAAAGTATTCCAGAGACTAAAAGAAGCAAACCTTACCCTAAAGCTCAGTAAGTGTACATATCTCCAAGAAGAAATAAAAATGTTGGAATTCACAGTAAATAGAAGCGTGATAAAACCAAATGAAGAAAAGTTAAAAGGCATTAAAGACTTCCCAAAACCAAAGAAGTTAGAGGAAGTACAAAGCTTCTTAGGACTTTGTAATTTCTATCAAAAATTTATAAGAAATTTCTCCTCGATCGCCAGAACGTTGCCATTATGGTGAAGCACAATCAGCAAAGAAGAAAGAATAAAAATATTTGCATTACATTACCTTTTCCAATTGTAATTCAGAAAGCGGAAAATGTAGGAACATGATATTCAGAAATGGGAACTTGCAATTTAGAATAGGAATATGTAATTCAGAAAGGGAAAACCTAATTCCAGAAAATGTAAATTTTAATTTAGATATGCAATTTTGAAAATCGGAAATAGGAAAATGTAATTCAGAATTGGTAACATGTAATTCTGAATCATGAAATATCTATGAATGTTTTTTTTTTCAATTTCTAATCTTGTGTCGCTAAACACAGGATTGCTATTAATTAATTTATCGTCAGTAAAGTTTTACATAAAAATGTTCTTTGCGAATCCAAATAAAAAATACATAGTATTCATACAAATTTTGTTTTTATTTAGGTATACCTATTTTGAATTTGATAATAAAATATATACTAGCAAAGTTGGACTTATAATGGGAAATCCACTAAGTCCTATTTTATCTGAAATATTCATGGATTTTATTGAATCAAAAATTAACAAACATCCAATTTTTAAAAAATTTCTCTACTGGCATAGATATGTTGACGATATTCTAACTTGTTTCACTGGAACAGACAGACAATTAGATATTTTTATAGACTATTAATAAAATCCACCCTAACATAAAATTTACCATAGAAAAAGAACTAAATAATTTAATAAATTTTCTATATTTCACAAACCTACTCATACTGATACAGTAATACATAATACATCTTGTCATCCTATCCAACACAAATTAGCTGCTTTTAACAGTATGATACACCGATTAATAACACTTCCCATAAATAATATTAATTTCCAAAAAGAATTAAACATAATTAAACAAATTGCTTTCAATAATGGCTATTCTTCCAAATTAATAGATGATATTTTAAACAAAAAACTATACAAAAATGTCATTAATTTAGTATACCCTAAAAATTACAAAATAATAATAATTTCAAAAGTATTACTTTCCGAGGACAAGCTAGTAATAAAATTAGCAAATTTCTTAACAAAAACGATATAAATGTTGCTTTCAAAACTAACAATACAATAGGCTTTCACTTAAAAAATAATAAATCTAAAACTAAAATAATAATAATAATAATATATATACTTAGGTATATATTAGCTGGATATTTCGGGTATGCGGTCTGTATAGTATATTAATACTCAATTGCTTTTGAACTCAATATTTCGTCAATTTATTTCGACTTCGTCAGGAGTATTTAAAATGTAAAAGGAATATAATAATATAATAATGAGTATTAATATACTATACAGACCGCATACCCGAAATATCCAGCTAATAAATTTGTACGGTCGAAATTAAATCTTCCAATAATTTCCTGATGGGTTATTATCAAGATATGAGTCGCACCTATGGAATTCACGTAGTAACTTTGATGAAATCATGGTCCAACATGAACAGAAAACTAGCCAATAGTAATAATAGAAGGATTTTCTTGTTATGCTGTAGAAAATCAAAAATAATACCTAGACATATTCTAGAAAGTAGAAAAAATATCCAAAGTTTATTGTTCACAGGTAATAATATGACTATGACAAATAGAATTGATAATTTCATTTTTTCATTAAGTTCTAAAACACTATCTTTAGAAATAAAAATAACTTGTAACACAATTTCAAAAATTACAGAAATGATAACTAAAGTTAAGAATGAACTAAAAAATTTAATTCCCTTAAATATTTACAATGATTATTTTAATAGAAGCAAATTAAATTATGATTCTTTTTACAATTAAATTAAATAAAAAAACATTAGAAAATTTGACAATCTTAAACAAAATGTAACCAGCAAAAACGTATTATTTTTAGATAACAAAAAAATGGTTCAAAAATATTTCCAATGTTGACATTCCACAAGAAATTTCGGATTTTTTATCACTGGGACCAAAGTTTGGTATTCCTTGTCAAAAAAATGATTTGAGAATAGATAGATTTCTTGCAGATGTTGAAAATATTATAGATGATACACCTATAGATAACCAGGACATTTTGAGAGCTAGAGTTACTAATGTGGTAACAAACTTTTTAAATGATTCACATTCTAAATCATCAGATTATTTGAATATAAGATTTAAACAAACAAAAAAGTACTTAAAAGATCATCATAATTTATATATATTACAATCAGGCAAAGGTGGTTGTACAGTGGCTATGAATAAATCTGATTACATAGAAAAAACTAAATCATTATTGCTTGATGTTTCTACGTATGTTGAGTGAAATAAAGATCCTACAACCTCTATTCAAACAAAGTATAATAAATTAATTAAAACTTTGAAAGATAAAAAAGAAGTTTCTGAAGAGGAAGCCAAAAATTTAACTATATACAATTCGTCTTTTCCAAAACTTTATGGTCTTCCAAAAATTCATAAGCCAAATGTACCAATGCGTCCAATTATTAGTTCTGTTAACTCAACAACCTATAATATATCAAAGTATCTATCTAATATTCTTCAAGTTACTTTTAATAACACGAATAACTATAATATAAAAGACACGTTCACATTCGTTATTGCAATGGAAAACTTTGTACTACCTGAACAATATGTTTTAATATCATTAGATGTAGTATCTTTATTTACAAACATACCTTTTAATTTGGTTATCAATATTATTGAGCTTAAATGGGATAAAATTAAAGACAACACTAAAATCTCAAAAAATAATTTCATTACATTAATTAATTTTATTTTTGACAACAATTATTTTGGTTTCAACGATAATTTTTACTAACAAATTTTTGGAACTCCCATGGGTTCACCTATAAGTCCAATTCTCGCAACAATTATTCTCGATCATCTATTTGACATTGTTATTCCTAAATTACCTTTTAGGTTTCCATTTATATATAAATATGTTGATGATATTATATGTATGTGCAGTATCATCTGATTGCGTTCAACTAACGTTAAAAACCTTTAATTCTTTCCACAAAAGCATACAATTTACAATTGAACAAGAAACTAACAATAGCGTTCCTTTCTTAGATACAAAATTAATTAGATTAGATGATAATAAAATTATTCTTGACTGGTACCAAAAAGAAACTGCATCAAGTAGATTCCTGAATTTTCATTTTAACCATCCAAAAAATCAAAAGTTCAACACTGTAATAACAATGA